GATGATATTATAAGGGAAATACCTTCGGCCGCAAGTCATAAGCATGACCTTCACTGTCGTTGAGCACGTGAGTTTCAGAACTTTTAGTCATTTGTCTCGATTGTCTTTTTGAAGCCAACTTCTAACAGACATTCAAAGAAAAATTGAAGAAATTATCGACATCAGAAATAGTAAAATCCATAATCCTGAGTATAATGGTATTGGGATCATGAGAGAAACAAAAGAAGTAAAGCAGCAAACCAGCATGCAATAGAACAAATGTTAATTACACAGACCAACAAAATATGGATTAGATTGTGTTTGATTGGCTTTATTTTTCATGAAAAATGTCTCTTTTTTTCCACCCAAATTACTACTTTTGCAATGTTTGATTGACAATTTTTTCCATGGAAAATATTCTCTTACTTTTAGTCATGTGATCATATTTTCCTCGAAAACAAGGAAAACATTTTCTTTAAGGAAATGTGATTTTTACTTTCCAATAAAACATTCTCTCTCTCTTTCATCTATCCCATCTTTCTTATCGACCCACCAATAAAAATGGACAAATATAATATTTTCTAGATTGAAAACTAAATCAACCAAACACGTTTAATTAATAATTTCTATACAAATAAGTTCTAAGCATTGACTAGAACTCATTTTCTTTCCATACAAATTCCATACTCGCAATAAAATGCACCTTATTTCATTTTCCTGGTGAAGTGATCTTATTCATACGTATTGATGACAAGGTCTCTTGTAGATTTCATGAACTAACCATTAACTTCACGTGACGACTGAGTTCAGCCTTTTGCACTTCCAGCTGTCTAACCAAATTGACTATTTTTTGTTTCAAATCTCTGATTTCACAATCCTTTTCTCTGCAGTTGACTTCTATATCCCTTAGCTGGCATCTTTTAGAAATTGAAGAGGGCGGTGTTGTCAGATATAAAAAATGATTTGAAGAGTGCAAGCAAATATATGAAAAGCCAACTCCTGAAGAAACAACTACCTGGAAGAGGATGTCAGGTTAAAAAGGAAGTTCATTATATTTTTTGCTTCAGCAAGGGAACGAACATGGTTCCACCTTCCTCTGCCATTAAATGTTCGTTCACGCTCCTCTGCTTCTGATAATTGAGATAACATAGAAATAAGGGTACTCGATGCAGTAGCTACCATGTTTTCAAGAGCAACAATTCTTGAATTCCTAGCACAAGGAGACATTGTTTGGGGGCTTTCACTGCAATGGATACCGTCAGATAAAGTGTTTTAGCCAACTGATGTCATAGTCAATTAGACAAGACACTGAACAGAGAAAAACAAATGAACCTCAATGAAATATTTCAGCATTATAATTTCAGACCTCAAGTACTTCTGCTTTTGAAGTTGTGCTTCATCCTTCAGTTCTGCAAGCTCTTTAGCCATTCTAGTCCTCCTATAGTTGCAAAGTTATTCTTATTAAATTGAAACATATATAATTCTTGCAACAGGAAAAACAACAATTACACCTTTAAGAAAGAAAATGAGAGCAATAACAAAAAAGACAAAAAATTGTTGTAATGTAGTATTTGTATGGTCAGAAATATTGATACCCTATGTCATCACTCATTATAAGTTACCTATCTACTGATGTAATGTCTAGTGAATGAGATGATGAATAAATGTGAATTTTTCGTAATGAGAATAGAAGTGATAGCTTCCCAAAAGCAACAGTCTCATTTATCATTCGACCTGGCAAGTGAGGAAGACATGAAAGTCATAACGCAGATCCTCTAGGAAGAATGGCACAGCAGAGGTAGGAATTTATTCTCTTGGTAGAAACTTCCTGCCAGTTATGATGACTGCATCATATAACAATGAACATTCATAGACTGCCAAGTACCCACTAGTACCACAAGTTCGGAGAAGTAAACATGACAAGTCCAAAGAGTGAACTGAAAACAATACACGAATTGTCAATTATACATGTGGACTCATATATCTCTTCCTTTCCTTGTACCCCTTTTCTTGAAGAACACTCATGAGCTTGACAAAAGAACGCCAACATGGATCAAATGTTCAAGAAGAATTGTATAATAATTTCAATGCCACATTATACATTGAAATTATCCACATCAGAAATGTCAAAGAAACTATGCTTAATATTCTTTTGTTAAGGAAGGGCATAGATATGACTGTCTAAATTATAAGAAATAAATATGTTAAAAGGAATGTCCACCTTAAACCAAATAATAAGGGCATATAATTGAATGTGCATCCCTGTGCCTTCTAAATTGGTTCATTATCGTGATAGACCCCCAATTAAGATCACCTACGCAAGAAGAAAAGGGGTTAATACATCCAACTTGAGGCAGCCAGGTCAACTCAGATTCTAGAAGGTTCACCATTCAGTTAGCAAGAAGGGCAAGTGGGTAATAGTACTTTAGAAGGGAGGTCTATAAATAGGATGAAGGGGGTAATGTAATGGCATGCTTTTGGACTGATGTTCATTTAGGGAATAGGAGAGAAAGGCCTCTCCAATAGACTGGAGTTTGTTGTTTCCATTTTCCATCCTTCATTGAATAACAAATACATTCCTCAGTTGACATTCTTCATTTCCATAAAGCCTTTACTAATTCACAGCAGCTCTATTGCATTTCATATAGTTCTGGTGATAATTCTTCTTTGTTGGATTCAACAGATCCACAGATTAGCGTCTGCAGCAACTAAAGAGTGATCAATTCACCAACCACGGTCAGGTACCTATCAAAGTGGTATCAGAGCAACGATTCTGGCCCTGCGGTATTATATTTGAAGAAGAAAAGCAAGTAGAAGATCGAGTTGATAAATTGGAGACAATGATGGATGGACTGCAATCAGTCACAGGAAGATATGGAGTCCATGAAATCTAAATTTCATAGGGCCGTGATATCAATGATGGGAAGACGGATTTAATGGTGAAGAAATTGGAGGGACAAGAGGAAGAAAAATTATCTCGCAATCAATTCAGATGAAACTACTGTTGATTATGAAATTTCACCAAAATCCAACGAGGCAGAAAAAAATACAGGAGGAAGGATCCATCTTGAAGAATCGGGAAAAGTAGAAAATCGAAGTCGGCGACTGGAATTGCCGGTGTTCCATCTTGATAATTCCGCCGGCTAGATTTTTGGAGAGGAGCGGGTCTTTAACCTGAATCAAATCTCAAATTGAGGAAAAGAAAAGGAAAAAAAAAAAAATCGAAGCCGCTACTATTTGTTTCGAACTGGAGGAGTTGGCTGGGGATCACTGGGAAGATAACAGGCAACCAAGGAGGTGGGAGAACGTGGAAGCTCCACTGCCGGCGATCACTGTAGAGCTGTTGGAAACCAATTTCTTTAATGGGCTAAAGGCAGTAATCAAGGCAGAGAGACGCATGTTAAAAGCTCATGGGTTGGGCTATATCATAGAATTGGTCCAACGGATAGAAGATCACAATGAGTATTTGAAGCAACCCAGTTAAGTTTCCGGCCATCCAGAAATTAATCCCCTCAGCCTACGTTTTCTCCATCAGACCACGTCCAATCATATCGTTTTCCAATATCATAGTGGTGCGAGTAGATGAATTTGGATGTGATCTTATTTTGCAGTTTTGGATAATTTCATAGCCAAACTAGCGAGCGGTGAAAGCAGAGATACATTATCACAGTACATTAGATGAAACTGCTGCATAAATATTTCCTCTGTCAGAATTTGTATAGATAAATAAGATGTTGATACGAAGAGATGATTTTATTCCACTGCAAAAACAATAAGATAGCATGTCATATCAAACTTTACTTTAGCATAAATTATCGACGACATAAATTATTTAAATCCATGTGGGGAGTCAGCATGAAAATTTAATTAAACACAGGTATATCTATGCAATTTCAAATTGGGTAAGATCTCTCATCTTTATGACAAAATAGAAGTGAGGTTTCCATACTCCATCCAAGAATTGATCAAAAATGTAAGGTAAAGAAATTAAAATTCAAAACAAACATAACAGTTATACATGCTTTAAGAATCTATGCAGAGGACAATCTGAATTAATAAAATCTCATCCACAACACAGCAAAAAAAATAAAAAATTAAATAAAAATAATAATAATAATAATAACAATGAGATTGGTGACTAGTATGTTGCTCTCAATGTTCACTGCAATGGGAAAAATTAAATGGTCCTAAGTGCTAATGAATTACTGAAAACTTACTCTTCTTTTTGTCGCTCATATTCTAATCGAACTTCATGAACTCGGATAGTAACCTCAAGTTCATCCTCAATTGCCTGCATTAGTGTCTTCAAATAAACAAAGATGTGTTATTTAAGAAATAACTGGACAACAAATCCAACAAGAACATTAATAAAAACTTGTTTATCTATAGAACTCTTCCATTTGCCCCTTGTGTCGATGAAAATTGAGGATACCATCCTTTTTTGGAGTGTCCTTGTAACGACCCAAGCCTTGGCCCAAGTCATTAACTCATATGTACCGTCCACTTTCAGAACGTTTGTACCCATTCTACTCTTCAAGGCTTTTTTTATCACGTCCCTAAGATTCAAACCATTGATCTTCTATTTATGAGAGATTTAAGTTAAATTCTAATATCAAGGATTTGTATCTTAAGGACACGATAGTCATAGAACTATGAGGGGTAGGATGAGAATAGGTTCTTTCAAAACAAACAATACATATGAGTAAACATCTTAGACACGGGCCCGAATCATTTAGTCCTACTTTCACACATTTTACAAGATATTTATGCTGTGCGAGCTGCCCAGGCCAAAGCCGCCAAAACAGAGGAGGGGAAGAGAGCTGCTGAGGTCCAGCTCGCTGCTTCGCAGGCGAAGGTGGAGCGGCTGAAAAAAGAGCTCTATGAGGTGGAGTGCCAGGTGGCTGTGGTGACTCGGCGGCTTGACCACGCTAACGAGNTCTTAGACACGGGCCCGAATCATTTAGTCCTACTTTCACACATTTTACAAGATATTTAACCATCAAAGGTTTTAGTACTCTTTACAATCATTGTCCTTATATATCGTGTGACAATCTAAATACAGGACAACATGCCTCCTAGACCAATAGACATCCATATTTCATATATGCTAAAACTATATCATAAGCCTAGCAAGGTCCTCCAGTAGAATACATACTTGAATTCCAGGACCATTTTTATTTCCACCACCTGCATGGATGCAAAAGAAATGAGATATAAAAACTTATATTATAGACATCCAAAAAGGCACAAAGGTATAGTAATCCAACCAAATGTTTCTCGCGAAGCTTTTCGAGATTCTAGCAATTCTTTGAGCCGTTTAGTAGCCATAGAAGCTTCTTCAGTCTTTCGTTGTAAAACCTGAAATATCAATATATATAAAGTGAAACACATGAATATATAGTTGGACAAGTGAGAATTTTTTACTAGACATCAACTTACCATCTTTTGCCTCTGATTCAATGCCAAAAGCTTATGCAGTTCATACTCATTCCTTCTTCCCTCTTTTTTTAGCTACAAAGAATGCAAACAATATGTTGCACAAGGCAATAGGTATTACATATTTTAAAGCGCGTTCAACCACTTTTTTGCTCTTTTAGGTAGGGCTATATTCTAATGAACAATTTATTTAACGGAACGATTAAATTTTTGTAACCGGTCATGAAACACCTTAACCTATTATTCTGGTTTGAAAACTATTTGAGGCTTAAGCCTTGAATCCCACCTCGTGTGAAGATATCATAAAGCACCTCATACCCCGCATCTTAAGTGCCATTTGTGAGGCTCACTCTTTGAGCTTAAGCCTCAAGCTAACTTAGGTATCCAATCGTTTCCTTACATTTTTCAAACATTTAGGATGCGTTTGGTTTACGTTTCTGTTTTCTTTTTTCAATTCTAAGCTCCCGTTTGTTTCCCATTATTTGCCATTAAAATAAAAAATATGACCGTTATCCATCACATCAAACCACCATATTTGACTTTCTATCTCTTGTGTGGGGCCCGTAACGACTATATTTTTCATTCTCATTTTTACATTAATATGTACCAAACGGGACCTAAATTTATTTTCT